CGTAAGCGGTTTAAATAATACTGTTGTTCCGTCAAGCATTGTACTTAGAGCAAGTTGTAATTAGCGTAAGTAGCTGTATTATTGTAGATTTATACGTAGTTTTTTGTAATTAATAATGTAAGTATGCGTGCTGTAAAAAATAGATAATTAATAATAATAAAAAAAAAGAGAAAAAAAAAAAAAATGAGCGCGGCCTCTCGGAACGAGTATGGTCGGGCAGAGGTTGCGATTTGTGGTGCTGACTAAAAGGATCGTGTCCTCTGGAGACAAGATATGCTATCAGTCCCTCATATCCCACCGAGCCAGTTTGGGATGCAGAAATTGTGAAATTGAGCCTTTGGTTTGCTCTAGTACACGTTTCAAAACTTTTTTACTTGGTAAAAATGGTAAATGTTAGGAATGTTATGCCGTGCCCTATTGGGAATAAGTTTTAGTTTAATGGTACCAAGGTTGGTTGATTCTGATAGGAAAAACTATTTTCGGTTGAGTTAAAGGGATTGTTGAACCGTTGGTCAACCGAACCGTTTCAATTAAGCTGTCTGCAAGAGTACTCAAAGAGATCTCACAAACAGCCTCTACGTGGCTCGCTTTCATCTTTCAACAATCATTTGATCTTAATGTCGTCCCATCAGATTGGCCCAAAGCCCTCATTACTGCAGTCTTTAAGAAAGTAAACAAATCAGATCCATCCAACTATCGCCCAATTTCGCTGACTTCTATCTGCTGTAAAGTAATGGAACACATTGTTCTTAGCCATATGGCCAAACACTTATCTAGTAACAACATTTTGATCAACGAGCAACATGGTTTCAGACAGTGGTTTTCTTGTGAAACTCAACTGATATCAGCTATACACGATTGGGCCAAGTCAATCAACACTTGCAGCCAAATTTATTACGTGCTTTTATTATGTTATTTTCAACTCCTAGTATAGTTCCACTGTTTCAGGAGTATACTTAATAAAGATTAAAGATTAAAGATTTGGGAGGGTGTGTTAATTTTGTTTGGAAACATCAACCAAATCAGAGGGAGTTGGACTACGAGGAGTCCCACTTTCGCTTATGCCTTCGTGCGTGACGCGAAAGAAAACTGAGAGAAAGAGAAAAAAGGCCGCGCTTAAGGCCTGACGTCACCCCCAGGATTTCAGGCGGCCATTTTTTTCCTCGCGGTTTATGTACGGTCTCGCTCGACGGACTAAGCAAAAGAGGGACTACTCGTAGTCTAAGGGGAGTTGATGCTAGTTGAAAACGGTTGTTCTAATGGCTAGTTTGGTGGCACAGCTGACCTGAAATAGCTGAGGAACTGAAAACAGGAGTACGCCTGGGGTAAGAAAAACAGGAAAAAAATTGGGAGAAGTGGGGAAGGGGTGAGCGAGAAGGGGGAGAGGGTGAGCGAGAAGGGGGAGGGGGTGAGCGAGAGGGGGGAGGGGGTGGCTCGCCTCATCCCTTCTCCCTGCTCTATATTTTTTGCACTCGCTGTCAGTTTTGTTCCCTTCGCCCGCCTTTTTGGAAACGCCTGGTACGCAGTCTAGCCTCAAAAAGTCCGCAGCGGGAGCTTTGGCGGCACCTTTTCGGG